CCTCATTTTACACATTAAAAAGTATTAGTAAGAAATAAAACCCAAAAACTTTTTGAACCGCAGTCGCGTCTGGACGTGACGCAGCAGCGCAGCTGCTTCAAACGGCTGCAGAGATCGTGTGCGCCGCGTTTTTTGGCGCAGAAGCGGATTATTCCGCTCTGCTCCCCTGTGACTGCTGCGTGTTTTTTTAAATTAAAATGTGGCGTTCTGGGGCTTTTCTGCGCGTGCGTGCGTGCGTGTGTTTGTGTGTGATTTGAGGTTTTCGGTTCTTTTGAGAAAGATTAAACAAATCACTGTTGAGGAGTGGTGGCGATTTTTTTGGTTTTGCGTCGAGACAAAATAGATGATAAAATGTAAAAAATAAAATAAAATAAAAATGTTTGTTTTACAGGGAATCCTCCTGTAATTTTGTTTTCAAACTCAGGGCTGGAGGAGGAGGAGGAGGAGGAGGAGGTGGCGGCAGCTCGGAGCCTCCTCTCTCCATCCCTGCAGCAGCGGCAGCTTCTTCAGCCTCTCGTCCCTGATTTAAGCAGGAAAATGGGCTGTGACAGCCGACGTCCTCCACGGCCTTTGAAATACATTAAAATTAATTTGCTGCCGCTTTTCATCTCGGGCCCCGGTCTGTGGGACGCGCGTTACGCACGACACGTCCCCCGAGGCGCGTTATTGTGGCGCGTTTAAGGCGTAAACTGGAGAAGAAAAGCAAAACGTTTGGCCCGCCGTCTACACTGTGTGTGTGTGTGTGTGTGTGTGTGTGTGTGTGACCTCATCACCTGTCACCTCCAAATTGATTCAGAGTCTTTGCACAAATAGATCTTTTATTTTCCAGCCTTTTAAAAAACACAGTTTGATCGAGAAACGTCGGATTATTTCAGAATATAAATGTATTTTATAAATTATTAATCCAGGTTTTAGGTTGGAAACATATGAACATATAATGATGTTTAAATAGTAGAATTAATTATTTGCAGTTGTTTTATTTAAAAAGACTCTGAAGAGCTGGAAGTAGAAAGGTGAATTAAAAACATTTTCCTTTAAAAATAAACGAATCTAAACCTTGACACATATAAAAGTTCCGGGTGAAATAACCACGTACCAGAGTGGTTTTGTGCTCGGTTAAAGCTCGTGTTCTGTGGGTTTGTGTAAATGAAATAAAAAAATAATGAGTGATTACGAGGTTCGGAGTGAATGGAAGAAGAAATCAGGTGTCTTACCTCCGTGTCCTCGCTCTCCGTCCTCTCAACTTTCTGTCGCTGAGGTGTAAAACATTACAAGTCACTGCTGCGGTTACGGCTGAACACGCAGCGGTGGTTCGGCTCGGCTCAGCTCGGCTCCTGGGCAGCCGCGGCTCCTGCAGCTGACTGGATTATCTCCTTCTTCTTCTTCTTCTTCTTCCATGTCTCCTGGCCTCAGCTCACCTCACAGGTTGCTGTTCGGAGCTGCTCGGCCTCAGAACCCGAACTCTGCGCCCCTCGGAGCCTCGGTGTTCGTCTGCAGCCGCGGTTCTCCCACAGCTCCAGTGTTTTTCCTGCATCTTGGTTTTAATAAGCACCGACAACATCCCAACAAGGCAGATCCCCGCAGATCCAATCCTGCGGCTGAAGCAGGGACAAAACTTTTCCCCCTCCTCTCCTCCTCTCTCCTCTCCTCTGCGCGCTCCTCTCTTCTCCCTAATCCCAGGCTTTACCAGCTCAGCATTAAGAAAATTCAACTGCAATTTGGGATTAGACAAAATACTCTTATTACAAAAGCTCGGTGCAACTTGATAACTTGATACTTGTTCGGGGCTTTATCTGAGGCTTTTACTCCCATCCAGAGGAGAGGAGGAGGAGGAGGAGGAAGAAAACACCAAATGTTGGAGACTTTGGTTTTGTCAGGAACATATTTGATGAATGGATTTTGTGCATAATTTACCAGAGTCTGTGTGCGTGCGCGTGCGCGCGCTGGGCTGAAGGTATTTCGGCCTTTAGAACACGTGCACGGTCGGAGCTCAGGTGGATTTGAACACCTGCTCACTTTAAAAATACCTTTTATTTGTACGTTTTTATTAAGTAACTGCTGTTTATTTAAAAGGCTTAGCATGTAGCATGTAGCACCCAGTGGTAGGTACATGGATGTTAGCCTCCAGCTAGTCAAACATGATGGTCCAACATGGAGCCTTCCTCACAGAAGACCTCCAGATGTCGAGGTTCGTTCCACTTGTATTTCCCAAAACACACCAGAAGGGGAAACCAGGGCGTAATATGAGGCTAATAAGAGGCCAATAAGAGGCTAATAGGAGGCTATTAAGAGGCTAATAAAAGGCTAGGCTAAGACTCGTCAGGTGTAGAAGAAGAAAGTTTGAAACCAAGATGGCCGCTCGTCAGGTCCAGGGTGAGTAAAAGCTTTTTTTTTTTAATTCGTTTTGTCTCTTTGTTCCGTTTATTTTATCAGTTTTAGGAAATAGATTTATTGACATTCATGTTACATATGTGTCAGAAGCCTAACGTCTGAAAAGAAAGAACCGCCAAGAAAGTTCTAGTTCTGCAGTGTCAGTTGGAGTTGTAGTTCGAGTTCAACTTGTTTTGTTTTGTCTAATTCTAGTTAAAATACTTTGTTAAAATTCTACTTATAGTTATGGTTCCACTTCTTATTCATATTCCAATATTAATTCGAGTTCTAGTTTAGGATTTTGGCAAATACTGGACACAAACCTACAGTATTTGATGTTAATCTACATTTATACATTACAACTATAAAGTGATAAAATGAGACAAATAACACGGACATTGTTGTTTAAATGTCACTGTTTATTACATCATTTCCTGTTACGTATTTGTCAACTTATTGCTTCTCAAACGGCTTATTAATTTAAATGTTTATTCCTTCAGAAATGACTCTCAACGTTTGCTCTGTACTTTAAGTAAAATATGATATGATTGTATCATTAAAAGAGACGGGAAGGAAGGGTCCTGAAGCCGCTGTCTCCTCAAATGCCTGTGGTTTGGACTAGAACTGTGCGTTTCCTCCGTCAGTCAACAGTCAGGCAGCAGCTCATTATCCAGGATCAATTAAACAAATCAAACTAAATTTCAGTGATCCGGATCAATTAAACAAATCAAACTAAATTTGATATCCAGGCACCTCCTCTCTCCTCCTCTCTCCTCCTCCACTACTGACGTCAGTGTGACTTCTATCATCAGCCTGACCTTTGTCTTGTGTGTAAAAGCGCTTCTTAACTCATTTGTTGAGCAGTTCAGGTGCGTTCACGTACTCGTCACTCTCTTCGGTGTCTCCAGGCCTAAACTAACAAACTCTAACGTCACTCTATATTATGTATTTCCTGTAACATTCGGGTTTTTTTACGGACATTGTGTTGCCTTTGTGAGTATTATGATGCGTTCACGGCCTCCACTCCAAACCTCCATCATCATATTGATGTCAGTTTCTCTGTGAAAGTGCTCTCCCGTCTGACTTTTCAAGTCCCATCTGCCTCCACTTCGAATCCCCTCCTCCACACACAAGGACGCGCGCGCGCACATGCACATGCACCCCCACACGTACGAACTTTGATTTTTTTTTATTTTTTGTTATGGCTCCATTAACGTTAAATGATGAAAACTAACTTGGACCCAGTGTTTAGAACACTGGATTTTTTTATAATATTTTGTTCAATGTTTAGAACACTGGATTTTTTTATAATTTTTTTGCTCAATTTTTTTTTTTTCAGATTTGTCCAAATAAACGGCGCAAAAAGAAATTTGAGTTTCAAATAAATCATTGTGACTGTATGGTGGCGCACAGTTATTTATTCTATAAATAAATATGACATTTTAATTAATTAATTAAATTAAGAAATTATACACACCTTACTTAACAAATACTTTTAACAAATGTGTATAAAGACCCAAAGGCGTATGAGCAAATTAAATAAACAACACACGAACATTTCCACGGACCTATTTATGGACCGCAACCCAGCCTTTGGATGCAACGTTAACCTTAGAAACTCAACACGAAAATAAAAGATTCTGTGTCTTTAAGACTAGGTTCCAGTGGTGACTAGTGGACGAGGCACACACACACACACACACACACACCGAAAATTAGGTCTCTTTCAGCTTTCGGCCTCATGTGCAGAAGTTGGTGTTTTCTTCTTGTGTTCTTCACACACACACACACACACAGGTTTTATTTAGTGTGTGTGGTTCGGTTAAAACAACATCATAAAAGATGAAGGGAATAAAAAGACGGGTTTGATTCCGCGGCAGGTTTTTTGCCTATTAAACTACTACGTCAACCATCGTTTAAATGTAATTTTAAATGGGGATTAGAGTTCATTAATATTCATGAAGCCCCTGTTTGTGTGTGCGTGTGTGTGTGTGTGTGTGTGTGTAGAGGCAGGGGGAGAGGACGGGTTGTATCGCGGGACGAATCAAAAACCCACGCATTAAACTTATTTTCCTTTTTATTTTCCATTTGTTGTTGTTGTTTTCTCCATTTCTGTTTAGTTCTTTATTCCGTTTGTGTTCAAAGACTGGGTCAGGAACCACAGATGGTCCGTGGGAGACTTTATTGGGGTCGTTAAAAATATTTCTAACATGTAGATATTTTTTAGATTTATTTTTAGAGTAGATGTTATTATTTTTTTTAAATATAGAAAATAAACTTAAAATCGCTGTACAGTCTACAAATCTTGTTAGCTAGCATGTAGCTCCAGAGTTTGTTTCTGTTTTTATCTTTAATATTTTAGTCTTATGTTGGACACGGCCCTATAAAGTTGACCTATAAAGCTAAAGTTAGTTCATATCAATAATTCCAATTATTTTCACTGAGAGAATCCTTTGTTATCTTTTGGTCTGTATGAAGAGTTGGGGAAACACCGCTTTAATCCCAGATTAAATCCCATTATTAATGAACACAGAGACTAAAAGCAAAAAGCAAGTGCGTGTCAGGCCTTTAATCAACGTCTTCACTCCTGTTGTTGAAGTACAAGATCTCCAATAAACAATTTAAAAACACAAAAAACACAAATAAATAAATAAATACAAAGATATGCAAATTAAATCACTATTTTTGAAAATAAATAAATAAATAGAAGAATTATAGTCATTGAAATATTAAACTTTTTTTATTTCCGGTAGTTATTACGTTTAAGTCAACAAAATGTCGCACGTGTGGTTTAAAAAAAAAAGTCTATTATTTCAAATTCTTTTCTTTTTTTCCCATTTGTAAATCTAGATTAATTCCCTTACGGACGAGATTATAATCTCGTACTCCTCTCCTTGTTGTGCTGTCACCATCATGTCCTCCGGGCTAATAATAAAAGACAAAACTCTTCCTGTGAGAGTGTCTACTTTTAATTTCTTTCCTCTTTCACGCGCGGCATCAGGGCGCACATCTGCGCCTGCAGCGTTTTCTCCTGCGGCCTCGCGGACGTTTCCAGTCTTGTTTTTTCCTTCACATGAGATTCGTCAGCTCTCAGGATCTTGCAGGACACGGGGAGAGGAGAAGGAGGAGTGCTAGAAGGAGTGGGAGGAGCCCACCCCGACCAGCCGCCTTCTGGCCGCCCCCATTGGTCGACTGCGCCGTCCGTCGGTGCCGTGACGCGCAGCCATTGGCTGTGACAGCGCGGACCCGCAGGTGTCCTGCGCTCTTAGAGGCGCGGGGCGGAGAGAAGGTGATCAATCTCCATCCGTCTCCATTAGAAATCACCTTCACACTCTGACAGTCGACGACACTCAGAAAGCAAATGAGTTTGATTTATTTGGCTGCAAAAACTGCCCAGAACCGCCGCAGCGAGGACGTGGTGACACCCGAGCGCCGGTGACCCGCCGCCCGCGTCTCTACCTCTTCTTCTGTCGCTACTTTTTCTCCGTGATGCTGCTCGGTTTTAACTCCGCCGTTTGTTTTTGACCCACTTTGCTGCTGTTGTTGCTGCTGCTGCTGCTGCTGCTGCTGCTCTGCCCCGCAGACTTCCTGCTGCCGCGGCTGGATATTTTAACACTGCTGCTCCTGTTGGCTGCGGGAGAGGGGGATTAAGGAGGACAATCAGGGTAAAGACAAACTTTCTACTTCTTTCTCTTCCGCAAAATAAGTAGTTTTTTACCCTCAGGCACAGACAGCGCCATACAAAAAAAAAGAAAAGAAAAAAGAAAAAAAGAAACACACCTATGACTTTTTCACGCGTTTCAGACAAAGTTTAAATGGTTGCCGCAGTAAAGTTACGTAAAGGTTCTTTACGGTAACTTTTATTTTCCTGTCATTTGAATTTCACACGTCCAGTTTTCAGAGTTTAAATAAATAAAACTTCCTGGTTTTCTTTTCTTTTCGTTTCTTTTTTTTCCGCCACTTTCTCCGTTTTAATGGAAACCAGTTGTGCATTAAAGCGTTCGGAGCCACTCGGCAGATAATTGGAGAGGCGTGTTTGGGTTTTTTTGTTAATTTCTGGCGCTGATAAGAGGCCCCTCTGAAACGCACTCTCTCCCCGGAGGTCTCATCTAAATTCTAATTGAGTTCATTTGCACCGAGGACTGGTCCGTTCTCTGCTTCAATACACGTTCGGCCAGTGATGGTCGGGTTTGGTTTGGTCAGTTAGGAGCGCATTGTTAAACTAATGTCGCTCCTTCACTGCCACTAATTTAATTCACACGCCTGGAGCTGCAGAGATGGAGATAATTCTGCAGCAGTGACTGAAACTCAGCCTGACCTGGTTTTATGGTTTATGGTTTTAAACAATCACAGAACCACCCTGAGCCTGTCTGGGTTAAAGTGACATAATTGGATGTTGTGTAGGTAAAAAAAAAGAAGGAAAAAATAGAGTCAAAGTAAAATACAGTTGAATAGACAAAAACACAAGTCATTTTTGAGTCTCAGTTAAATTAATTTCTTCTGCGCAGCTTCAGAGATGAACGGAATTTGCTACAAGTCGTAGTTGTTCTTGACAAATTAGTTTAATCCCGGTGTTAGTCTTTTAATCTAGTGATAATCCAGGAGTAAATAAATAATCTGCATTTTTTTCAGCGAGGTTTCGCACAACTAGATTGAACTTTTTAGTCTGACTGGAAACTATTACTAATTTTTAAAATCCAGACAAAATAACAACAAATTTGACCCTTAAATAATAACATTCTTTTTTTTAAAAAAATCTTTTTTTTTTATTCTTGTGATTGCTCAGTTATTTCACTGGTCCACAGGAGTCCAGTCCACGGTCCACGATCCACAGTCTTAAAAACCTAAAGTAGAGAAAAGTAGAAGGTTGTGTTCACGGAACTGCGATTCTGTAGGTTTTAACACTTCAACTCATTTTATTTTTAAATCAATTATCCATCTTTACATATTTGCCTTCGTGTGTGTGTTTGCGCAGTGCGGCTCCTCAAACACACACTCATTTACCTGCAGTTTGTTTGGTCAACTGGTTTGTTTTTTTTTTTTTGTGTTGTGCCTTTTATTTAAAACCAAAACATTTCAAGTTAAATGTAAATTGTTTGAAAAATAAAAAGATGTATTAAATTAATGTGTCAGAACCTCCTGCATTGTCGTTCTGGTCTAAATCTGATTTAAATCTGAAAAGAAAAATAATGTTTTTATAAATAATTAATGTGAAGATTAATGTTTTTCAAAATTCCAATATATGGGGCGTGTGTTGGTTTTTAAAAGTTTTAAAAAAATATAGCATTTAGCAAAAAGCACTGTGACGTAATCTTTTCTTTTCGTACATTTTGTAGCTAAATATTCAAAGGAAAAAGAGTGAGAAAAAAAATATCAAAGGGAGAAAAATATTTTAAAAATATATTGTCAGTATTACAAATGTATGTAATTATTTCACCGTGTTATTTGTTTTAAACTCCGTCCTGTGTTGAATGGATACGTGTTTAAACACACACTGTGATCAGTGAAGGGCGTGTTTGAATTCTTATTATTTTCGCCGGTGTCTGACTGGATTATCTTCACTGTCTCTCAGAGATTAAACCTCTTTGTTGGTGAAAATTATCACTTTACACTTTCTTCTTCTTCTTCTACTCTTTTTTGTTTTCTGCTCCTCTGAGGTTTTTGTGGCTGCAGCGGGATTTTTGCAGCCGTTTGACCCCAGTTATCCCCCTAAAACCCCTCAAATATTCCTGCAGGGATTTCAATTCGCCCATGGATTAAAACCAGGAGTTGATGCTGGATTAGATCGATAACTGTCTCTAGTTTAATGCATACAGGAAACAGACGGTATATTGTTAGGGTTTACGGTTATTATCGACGGTTTAACAACAACAGGAGCTTTGAAAACGATATATTAGAACATGTGAAATAGTCAAACTGCTTTACGGTCAAGTCTATTTTAGTTTTTTGTTTTTTTTTTCTGTGTCTGACCACATCTCCTTCCTCCACACCTGCAGTAACTTGGACACCCCTGCCCCGTCGCCAAGCTGCAGCACCGGGGGAAACCGAACCCTTGGCCTGAGCTGGAGCTGCGTGGAGCCGTGACCGCCTGTAGCATGATGTCCTACCTCAAACAGCCCCCATATGGCGTCAACGGCCTGGGGCTGAGCGGAGCTGCCATGGACCTGCTGCACCCGTCTGTGGGCTACCCAGGTACACACACACACACACACACACTCAGAGACACACACACACTCAGGGGATTGATTTTGTCCACACACACACACACACAAAATCACATTAAATTTCGTTAACAATTTAAAAAAACAAATGAAAAGAAACAAATAAATATCTGAATAATCTGATTAAATCCGTCAGATTAAATCCACATTCTGCCTCGTGCATGGCAGCAGGTTCAGCGGCATACAGTCCTG